ACCTGACTTTGTAGTGCCTTTTTTTAAAGGTGGTTATTGTGGTGTTTACATTAGCGACATCAATGTGCGTCTTTCCAGTGGTAAGCAGAATTTTCAGAGAGGAGTTACCTTGATGTCAGCACATGGTAAATCGAAAAATTGATACTAAGGTTTTCTTATTTTTTTAGGTGTAAATGGACTTCTGAGGGTTTATTTACTGAAGTCAGTGACGAAGTAGTGAGTTCAGAAACAGATCACTGTTGACAAGGGCCATTCTCTGACAACAAATGCAGAGCAATATATAGAGCAAGCACACACTTCAGAAAGTTTACAATCCAAAGTTGAAATCCAAAGCCAGCTGACCTCTGGCTGTTAGGTTCTTTTTAAGACTGACTTATCCAGAGATAAGAGATCCAAGATGATACAATACAATTAAATATATAAAGTTTAAAGGCTCAAAAATAACTGTTTAAAAAACAAAATGGTTTAAATTTCTGCTGCTCTCTTGCAATGTCTATTCTTAGCAGCTAATAAAAACTGCAATTTTTTATATAAAACTGTTATGCAAAACTGAGTTTAGCCTGATGGTCTCCCACAAGAGTCTAAGTTCCTTAGAACTCTCCTAGGTTCTGGACCATAAATCCTCACCTTACACCAAAGGTAACTTGCAAAATAGTACAGATGCCAGAGACAAAGAAGATGGTGTTGATGAGCCGACTCTGGGTCAGGCTATCGTGCTGCAGACAGAGGCCTTCTGAGAGAATGAGGGGGATAGAGATGATCCCACCAAAAGCTGTCAGGTAATGCTACAAAGAAAAACAAGAAATCGCTGTGATACTTATAAACAGATGTGCTTTCATGTCTACTCTATGTCCAACATGTTTGCCTTCATTGGCATGACAAACAAGTGTCATCCATCCATCCATCCATCCATCCATCCATCCATCCATCCATCCATCCATCCATCCATCCATCCATCCATCCATCCATCCATCCAGCTTTAACAATTGTGCCACTGTGATCTGTTGAGGAGTTGGTGACTCAGAATAACAAAATTGTGTGAAAAACAAATTCAAGACAGCTTCGTTGAATTCTAAATGTCTGTGAATGTAAGTGATCGGTGAGCCTTGTGGCTTTTTATGTTTCAAGCAGCCAAATATGGAAAATTATGGTCCACGTTTTGGTTACAGCTTGCAGAACTGCTGGCAGGAACTTGGATTTGTAGTGTCATTGAACATAAATCAGCGCTGCCAAATTTAATAAAAATATAACCTGCCAAGAAAGGGGATGGTTGTAAAATGTTGTACATGTGTTGCTTCACGTTTCAACAGAAAGTGTTTCGATTGAATTCTTTATTGTTTGTACTTCATGTTTTTTCCCCAGCCCTACATAAAATCACTGTTTAGTCAGCACTTCCTCATGCATGAGGGGATGAGTGGTGGAGTTTCATTAATAATTTTCTCTAACTGCCCTTGAACGCTCACAAATAACTGTTAATACCTAAGCTAACTCCCAAGAGTTTCCTTCACTTGCTTTTATTACCTTGTTGCAAAGTGATTCAGAGAGATTTTGTCATTTTGCAACAATATATGCTTGACACCAACCTGAAAGGCCAAGAAAATACAAAGGTACCAAGGAGGGACATCGGTCACGGCATAAGTAGGTTTGTTTACGTCTCTCTGTGCTGCACAGTCACTCCCACATGTTTTATCCACCTTTGTTTTGCGTGGATCATTGACTTCCTCATCCTGCAGAAACCACAGACAAACAAGCAGGATAAATTGTGAGGAGTCAAAGGATGACATGAAGTCATCTTCAGTTCAGTCAAATAATTACTCATGAATCATCTCAGGACCGAAGTTCCAGCTACCCTGAAGAAATACTTTCTTAACCGACTTTTAGCTCCATTTTATTACAACTACACAACACTGGTATRTTTTAACCCATGACGTTTGGATTTGTGGGATTCCTTTGAATCAAAAAGGTCACAAAAAATTGCAGAATTGTTTTGTTTTTGAGCTGGAAAGTAGCCGAGCCTTGAGAAAAAGACACAGTTGGTTTTAAAAAAAATAAACTACAGTATTTTTGTTTGTAAGGGGTGATGTTAAATGTGTAAAGTTTACACCTAATTACTTACATTCTTCTAAACCAGCTCTTTAAATAAAATCAAGCATGAATCTTAGTATTTAACAGAGTAAAGTCAAAGGATTTGTGTAGTTTTGATTTTTTGCTAATACATATTTAGCACAATATTTTTTAAATTATCAGTCTTATTGTCTTTAAAACCAGCATTACTGAGGAGCAACAACAATAAACAAAATTAGTGTAACTTCTTTCTGAGATTTTCTTAAACATATGCCGTATAATAATAAAACCAGTGTTAATAAGCATTTTTTTCAATAAAACATAATTGTACTTACATCAAATGCAAGATTCTCAAGCCCTTTTCTTTCCTCTCCGGTAGGCATTGCCACTCCACCATAAATGAGAGATGTGTTGTAGAAATTCATCTCAGAAGATATTTTGATCAAGGAAATATCCTTTATTGCTATATTGCATTCAGGTCACATAAGAGGAACAGAGCCAAGAGAGACCGAGCGCTCAGAACCTAGAGAGAGAGAAACAAAAGACACRAAACAGAATGAAGCAAATCATTCATAGATGAGCCTCACCTACTCAAAGTGATGCAAGGGTCTTCCAGTTCTTATCACCTCCRACCTTGTGTTAAACTAATCCCGTCAATCACAACACACACAGCAGAGTTTTAAAGTGACAGACAAAAATGTAACTTTTTTTTTTCAAATTGAGAGATAATTTAGGCATAATCTGAAACATTGACTTTGTGCTGAAAGGAACCAAAACCTGATAAAAGATCAGCCAAGAAGGGAATTCTCTCTTATCACAATCAGATTTATTTTCCGGCCCACATTTTTATAACATTCTATTGACCTGAGTTGATRAGGCAAAGTCCTAAAGCTGTATTTTTATCTACTTTACGATCAGTGATAAGTAATCCGTGAGCATGAGAATCTTGTTAACAAGCCTGTTTATCCTAATTGCACTGCATGTTGGAAGATGGACGGCTGGGCGTGGGCTTTTTTGTGTATTAAAGCAGTAGTTCCGATTTTTTTGAAGTTGGATTCTGTGGAGTAATGAGGCCAAGATGGTGGTGTCTTGCTGTGACAGCAGTATCAGTCCACCTGATCAGTGCACCTCATCAATCCAAACTTACTCAGCTCACGGTGGACTGATACTCTCAGCAGCCTCAGCACACCTGTGTGTAGAAATACGCAGAAAAATCAATGACAAACTAAACAAAAAAAAGTATAAAAGTTTTATTTTGTGTCATAYAATGTTTTATCACATCAGTGAGACATTTTTTGTGCAAATTTTGTTATATTTGCTTTGAAAAATGTTATAAAACAGAGAGTTAGCCATTAGCTTGACTTTTAGTTGGATTTTTACTTTGACCTCAATAAGACCAGTGGTTTCCAATGTTGGAGTCAGGACCTTCAGTGGGGTCTCAAACCATCAAGATGGGGTCCTGAAATTTTTTTTTCTGAATAAATTTAAATATCACTACTAACAATTGTTTTTGCCTTATTTGTTACAAAAGAGTGAAGTTAGTGTACTTAAAATAGATTAAAATAGCATAATGAACATTGTTACCATGCCCTTGTTTATTTGACCCAATACCAGTGAAAAGTTTTGGGAAACAGACTGATGAGGTACAAACCATTGCAAAAAAATTGGCAGAACATTACTTAAAAATAACAAAACGATCCCATGATAACTTGTTTTTAATTCTGAGGCTGTACAAAAGCTATCTGCAACAGGTAAGATATTGATTGTTCATAACCCTTCTCGCAGTGCTCCACTTCAGAAGCTCTGCATTAAAAGTTATTATCTTTAATTCTCACWCTTTTTGTGGAAATTTTTAAAAAAATCTTTCTTTCAAACATGACGTCTATGCGGCTCCTCCCTTCCATCAGACTGCAACCATAACCTGACACAAAGAAACTGCAAAGATTTGTGAAAGATTTCTTCAGTTCCTGCAAAGGTATTGGTCTTTTTAAAATCTTTTTTTTCTTTTTAGCTTTTAGCTGCTGTTCTGCTACTTTTAGTGTTAAACTAGCCTTTTGTTACTTCATAGTTCATAGTTTTGTTTTACCATTTTCATATGACAAAATAGTGCCTTTGTCTGATTTGTAATTCTGTTCTGGCTCAACGGTCATTATAAAGGAGTCCAGTAGGCTGAAGTAAAGAGAGATGAAGCTCCAGATGAAGCATTAGTGTTAAATATCTGTTTTTCATGTAGCCATCCAACAAAATTATCTGTGAACATCTCAAACCCCAGTGCGATCCTCAGGGCAACATTTGCACTTAAACAACCTGCTTAAAGATGAAATCTCCCTCATAGATGATGCAGCTCCGATTCATTGTGAGATGAAGAGCTTGAATGATCATAAATGGTTCTGCAGGCAAAACAATTATTGCAATTGCAGTTGACCTTTTCCCAGTTCAGTCCTGTGTTTCATCTGTAAAACCGGGGAACGGTTTAATTTATTATTTAAATATAAATGAAAAGAAAAAATAACAAACAAAAAGTCCACTTTAAGTTTAAGTTCATCATACATCATCTTAAATTTAAACTAAATTGTGTTRTAAGAKGCTTYGGTCAAATGTTGAAAATAACAATATGCAATCTCTTGCAATGTTGTGTAATTGCGGCACAAAGACAAACTGTGTGCCAAGTGTGTAAAGTTAGAAATGTCCCAGGTTTTTAAATGTGGCCTTGGTTCACTTCATTCATTAACAGTATACTAAGGAAGTGGTGTCTAACATTACTAGTGAAAAATTGATGGGSAGCATTTCCTCACTTTACTCCCACCTTTATGTCTGATAATTTTTATATGCAGCTCTGACMACCACAGTTCACACACCACTATGCTTCTTTGCACACAGCATTTTTTTTTTTTTTTTTACATTTTAACTCCCTACTTTATTCAGGAGCCTCTTTGACTCACGTTCCATTAAATTCTTCACTTTTCTGCATGTTAATGGTGCAGAGAGGAGAGATGTATGGAACATATTTGCGTATTTCAATAGAGGCAAGTCAGGGAAGGTGTTTGMTGCGTGCACGGTTCCACCATCGTTGGGAGGTATGATGGAAAGGTGTGCAGGAACACAGTTTGATAAATCAATCAAATTCAATCCCTTTCAGTATGGGAGCTGTGCAGTTTGATACATAAGGTGCAGGTGATTTAAATCTGAAAATGTATTCAATGACAAGAATTTTGAATTTCACTAATATAACTTTATATGACAAACATGAGCCAAAGTGTTTGTTGTTATTGTTGTTTTGCTGTTTTTGTGCTTGTACATCTGGACCAATGCATGTGATTGTGTTACTAATCCCTCACACACAAAGTTTGTACTCTGGACACAGCAAATAACAGCCTTTGATGCAAGGTTCAGTCTAAAATGACAGGTTTAGTCTAAAAACCCCTTTTTTAATTAATTGCTTTCCTTTTCTGTTTTTCTTTTAATTTTTGAGCTTGTTTTAGTTTCTGTGTTCCTGCCAAATGTGATTTTTTTCTGGTTTTTTTATATCCCCTTTAACAGTGACACGGTGTAATGCAACAGTGAGCAGAGTTGATGAAACCGTTCTGCAAGCCTCAGCAGGCAAACTGTACATCCAACCCTTTGCAGGTTTCYATGAAGAATCCAAACACACTGATCACCTCCTGTACCTGAAATGACTCGGCCKGGCTGCTGGTTCTGCTGAAGTGAAGTACCTGGTGAAACATGTCAAAGCGAATGTCCTCAGGTAAAACACCTTTGACATTTTCTGTGAGGGATATTTCATCAGCAGCACTTTCCTGCTGATGAGCTCATTTTTACAGTGTGCTGCAGAGTGTGGAGATGTGCTTACAAAAGCAACACTTGTGGGTCAGAACTTCATTATGCTTTACTGACAGAGAGCAGACRGAACTGATGATGCTATTTGGTGTTTGGTTTTGAAACATCTCGAGGTGAGAGAACTTTATGGTTGGCTGCTTATCATTGATTTCGCCTCTAGTTTTAATACATTTCATCTTTTTTTTAGAAGCAAAAATAATCGACAATAATTTGTTTTGGTTCATGTGTTTCAGATGGTTCTGCTCTGATGAATCTGCTTCAGATCTATAAGGTTAATCAACACTTTTCTTCTTGTTGTTTACGCTATTTAAATTAATAACTTTAAAGTTCAATTCAATCTACAATGCAATGAAAGTCATCAGCCAGAACATTGTTACTCAAAATGTATCATTTGCAATTTTAAAACTAGATTAAAATAAAGGAAAAATACCAGTTATTTCAGTTTGACTGGTTATTTTTGCTGCCTCCAGGTATTGCATTTAGTGTCCAGTCAATCATTGTGGAACCCAAACATGAAGTTTAGGTGTTTGTATGGCACTGGAAGCAATTGATCAATTATTCATGTTCAGTGACTTTTTACTTTCTTTTAGCAATTTTTAACTTCCAACTGCTAAAACTGCTTCTGCATACTCGCTTTGTTTTTGAATTGTAATTTTAGCCACTGTTCAGCTAGTGTTACCATTTTGTTAAATCTTTCTTTTAGCTTTAAACTACAGTTCTGCTACCGTTAGCTTTTAGCTAACCTCTTGCCTAATATAGCTTCAACATTTTTACCACTTATAAAATTTAGCTTTCTAATTTTTTAACTTCCAGCTACTGTTTTGCTACTTTTGATCTTTAGACTATTGCTACTTTTAGCTACTTTTATTTTACTTTTTGCTACATCCTTTAGCTGTTATTTTGCTAGAGTTGGATTATTTTTAGATAACCTTTTGCTATTTTTATTTTATCACTACTGGTTCTTCAGTTTTTGTCTAGCCTTCTGCAACTTTTGCTTTTAATAACATTTTGCTGATAACCTCTGGCTGTTTTAGATAGAATTTAGTTATTTTTTAGCTACTTTTAGTTTTTAACTACAGTTTTTTTATCTAGCTATTTGCTACCTTTGGTTTCTARCTATTTTTTTGTTTTTGCTTATTTTAACTACCATTTTGTTATTTTTAGTTAACCTTTTGTTGCATTTAGCTAGCTGCTTATCTTTACTAATTAGCCTTTTTCTACTTGTAATTTCTACCTAGCGCTTTGTCCACCTTCAGCTAGTTTTCATAGCCTTTTTCTAGTAATGTCACGGTTTGTGAAGGATATGGACATGGGAATGCAGACTGACACAAGGAGATCAAATAAAACTTTAAGTTTTTATTAAAGTAAAAAAGCAGCAACAACTTACAGGAAACAAGGAGACACAAAGGAGAGCCAGACATGACACATAGCACAACATTGATCTGTTGAAGAGTGGGGTCAGAGGAGATAGTGGGTCGGACAGAGATGACAGCTGAGCTTAATGAAATGTAGAACAGATAAAAGTGAGTGGGGACAGGAGCTGAGTTTTCTGCATCTTTTAGCTTTTACTGACTCAGTTTCAGGGTTTTCAGCAGTCATTTAGCCCTCAGCATTTACTCTGCATCTTCACGGGAAATGTAATTTCTCCTGCTTGAATAAAATAGTTCTGTTTAACTTGTCAGATGGCTGTGGTTCGCCTACATTTAGAGAT